GTTTGGGTTTGATAGGTTTTGGGCTAGACTTTGCTTTTCTCTTTTTTTTTTTTTTGTTCTTTTTTTGTTTTTGGGTTTGGGTTAAATGGGTTTTGGGTAATTGGGTTTGGGTAGTGATGGGTTTTGGGTTTGGGTTTGATGGGTTTTGGGCTAGACTTTGCATTTCACCCCTCCAACTTTTCATTTCTTCAATTGAGTCCTTTTTCTCATCTTCTTTTCTAATCTTCTTCGTAAAATTTCCTTTTCGCCCCCATTTTTTGAATGAACCTAACAAGTAAAACAAAGACAAAATATATTAGTTAAAATAAAAATAAAATTCTATTAAAATTTGAGTTATGACAACAACTAGGGATTTTATGCGTGAATTTCTCATTTCAGAGAATAATTTGACTGGCGAAATCCCTTCTTCTTTTTGTAATTTTACTCATCTTGAAGTTCTAGTCTTAACTAATAATAGGTTGGAAGGAAAAATTCCAAAATGTCTTAGAAACTTGAGTTATCTAGGTATCTTAGATCTACAGATGAATAAGTTCCATGGTAGGATTCCAAATTTATTTGTCAACAACAGTTTGTTGTTAACTCTCAGCCTAAATGGCAACCAGTTGGAAGGGATACTGCCACGGTCTTTAGTTAATTGCAGTTACTTGGAAATTCTAGATGTGGGGAACAACAACTTGAATGATACCTTTCCACATTGGTTAGGTGTTCTTCCATCGCTAAAAGTTCTCATCCTTTGATCTAATTGATTTCACGGTGCCATCAACAATTCTATGCTTGCATTTTACTTCCCTCAATTGAGAATCATTGATGTCGCACATAATGATTTTATGGGTCTCCTACTGAGTAACTATTTCAAAATTTTGAAAGGCATGAGAGATGTAGCTCCAACTGATGAAGTCAAATTGAAATACATTGATGACCATATGCAATGTCCAGGAGATAATATCACATGGCATTATAAACTTATAATATGATGTATCATTATATAATCAACTTTTTCTATTTAATGATTCACTATGATATTGTATGTATCCATTATTTAATAATACATTATATTTAATTAATACCATATACAATTATAAGTTTATAATTTTATGTAACATTATAAATATAATATTACTGTAATTTGCAATAATTTTGGTTAGTCATCCTCTTTCCTTTCTTTATAAAAGGCTAAAGGTACTTTTTTTTGGGTTTATCTTTTCCTTTTTGTTGATT